TATATCTAACTTAACCTTTAAAAATAATAGAAAAGAATAGAAAATTTATATATATATATTTTTTTAAATAATGCCTTTAAATCCTATCATTATTTTGTAGATCAATAAAATGATTTTGGCAAAAAAAAAAGTAAAACTTCAAATCGGCAAGCAACTAAAAATATAAGGAATAAAGGATGATTGCAAAACATAAAAGCTATATCTATATAAAATAGAATACAATCGAGATTAAGATCATAAGGACATTTTTAAAGTATTCTAATGATATTTCTTTTAAGGTGAGTTTAGTTTTTTTTTTATATGATTGTCTAGAATTTTAAGATATTTATCTCAATTTGATGTAATATTTACTACCATATTATAAATGACAACAATTATATTTCTTAAGTCTCTAGTGTAAACGGTATTGAAAGTTGCTCTTTTTATTTATTTCTATATAAAACTTCTAGTCATATTTTAGTTAGGGATTTTTTTTAGTGGTTCTTAACTTAAAATTTCTTTATTATTCTTCTTCCGATTTTAGCCATATGAAATTTTTACTATTTTATCGATTTCAAAGTTCTAAATTTTTTCTTTTCTATAATATAGAAGATCTTAAGGATGTACAAAATGATATAAATTGCAATCATAAAAATTTCCTTAAGAATAGTATTTTTCAAAAAATATTTTTCTAAACAAAAATAAACAAAAAATGTGTGACTTGTGGAATTGAGTAGAAAATTAATGAAGTTGGTGATCGTATTTTATTAAAATGAAGACTACTATTAAAAATTTTCTAAAAAAAAAACTAAAATCTTTTTGTTTCTATCTTATGATAACATTAAAAATTGACTAATAAATATTGTTATTGTTACTCGTATATGAGAGATTTCAAAAATTTCAAAAGTAATAAGATATACTTTTGAATTAAAGATAGATTAATAACTTTATGATAGACAGCTAGAATAAATTGGAAGATTTTAGCTTGGATTGTTCAAATTTATAGACTTTTTTGTTGGATTAGGTGGAAATTTTAGTTTTCTTAACAATATTTCGAATAATAGGAGAAATTTCAAATTAAAGTTTCTTGGCATTTTTAAAGTAATACATATTTTTTAAGTGTGTTAGTTAGTTGCGATGTAGGTTTAATTCCACAAAATATAGCTTTTAATTTTCCACATCAAAAAATGAATATATTTCACAATATGAAATTTCATTTTACACAATTATCCGATCAAAAAACCGGAAATAAATGAAAAAATATAAGGCTTTCAATAAAATAAACGAATTAATTATAATTGAAAGGATTCTTTTGAATAGATTACAAAAAGTTTTAAAGAATTAAAATTATATCTGAGAAGGTCTATTAGCCATTTTAATTAATTACATGTGCATATATGGTGGAATTAAATTACCAACTCATATTGTCAAACATTGAAACAAACATGAATGTGATATCCAAAAAAATAAAAAAAAAAATTACTTCAAAGGAACTACATTAACCATACATTCATTTATTAAAATGAAAAAGAAAAAAATTCAAAGGATATAAAGTAAAAAAAAAAAATTCAACGAAACTCTGCAAAAAAATCATTAAATTGCAAAACTGACCATCATCTCTGGTGAATCTGATTTTGTCTTTAATTTAAACTTCTCTTTTCATTTTTTAATAATAATTTGCAATGCACAGAATATTACCTGCAGTGTAGGTGAACTTATGATATAAATTAAAAAAAATATTAAAGAATGTGTGTATGTGAAAAAAAAAATATTTTTATAATAATAATTTTTACTAGTATAACCTTACTCCCTATAATGTATACGATGTATAAAAATGACGCCATTCAACTTATCCTTGACATCCAAAACGCTATAGATAGGTATATCAAATTATATAATGTTGATGTAATTTACAGTTCATGAATAGTATCAAATGCTTTTTCATATTATGTGAAAGGCATAGATTGTTTTTGAGAGGAGTAGGGACTAAGGAAGAAATGTGAGGAAAGCACTAAATAAAATTTTTCGTGTGTACATTAAAACTCACATATTATTTAAATTCGTTCTACAATAAATTATTATGAACGCCCAACAAAGTACGGTTGAAAAAATTTGTGAATATTAAGGTTTTTGTGTGTTTACTCAAACAGGTTATTAGGCCGGAATTTGCTTGATGTTGAAGTGCTGGTCTTTCTCAGGAGAGAGCTATGGTAGCTAGGCATGAAATGCCAAAATTTTTCAAAGTCCTATGTTTAAATCATTTTCAAGTAGACGATACAAATCACAAAAATCCTATCTATGTATCGAAAGGTTCGTCCCTTCGTCGATTCATATGACGAGGAAGAAATACGTACATATATTGACGAGAATATTTTCTTCCGCATTTTGGATAGCAGCAATAATGGTATACGTTCCTTATTAAATTTAATTTTTTTACAACATAGAGTAAAAACTGCATCAACATATTTTTCTCTTATTCATTCATTATAATAACAGTATACTACTACCATTATAGATATAAGTACTTTGTAAACCGTGATTTTAAAAATGTTTTTTTTTTTTTTTTTTTTGAAATACCTAAAGTTTTTTCTGTTTTTTTTTAATAAACTTTTAGATAACATTATATTATGGTAACGTAAGTAATTTCCTTGAATATTTCCGCTTTCATCATACTTATACATACGTATTTATATAGATATGTACATGAAGCAATGCATGTGATGATGAAAAGTTTATAATGATATACTGATAATGATGATGATTATGATGCTTACATGATTATGGCGCGCTGCTCATGATGATATTTTTATCCATTACAGGTTTTTTTTGTGCGGTTTCAACAATTATTTCGTTTTTTATTAAAAAAAAAAGACCGGAAAAAATCCAATTTTTATACCAACTTTAATACTTCCACCTTCCCGTTTTTTGGTCCATATTCATGTTATTTTTTAATCCTGAAAGTTTATATAGGTTATGAATATTTTTTTTATAGTTTTGTTAATTTTCACAAATTACGGTTGAGAAAAAGAATTGTAAATGTTTTGAATATACCAGCCTAACTCTACGGTTAAATTTCTTCTAATAAAATGTTTAAAATTGTACAAAATTAGAATTTTCGCAATTATTGTTTGATCTTTTTATTGTCCTAGTGAAAAATATTTAATTTTAGTAATTTTAAATCTTTGATTAATTAAATCCTGTTTCTTTTTAGGTTTCATTTAGAAAATATTGCAATGAAAAACAAACTGAGTCAACTAATATTGAGTAAAGTACAATGAATTTGCTTCAATATTCAATAAAGACCATTGTCGGGAAGCTTTTATTAAAACAAGGATTCAATTTGAGATTTTGTGCTGATTAATGCAAATTAATTTTTAAAAATTCATTTTTAAACGCTGTGCTTGGAAACCTATACATAACACGAGTAAGCAATTTTGTTTTTTGATTTTCTTATCCTAACTTGATATAGTTGCAATTATAATTACATTTTCATACCGGAACTTTCTTAATCATTCCACGTACTTACATACATATATATACGTTTATAAAAAAATTATGTTTAAATTTCATTCATACAAGTATTCTTCAATAAGGTCTAAGGAGTTTATATTTGTTGTATTATGGGCGTTTAAGGAAATAATTAAAAATTTGACGTTGAGTAATTCGTATAATTAATGAACTTTGCATTTAAAATTATATTTTAACATTCGGAAATATACACATACTCGTATATATATATTTTTGCATAGATCTAATAGAAATTTTTATATTTTAAATTAAAATTAAAGTTATATGCATAGCTATTATGAGAAATATTTTAATGAGGTGTTTTTGGTTTAGTTACAAATTCTTGAAAATAAATAGTTTTAGAAGTTAGTAACAATTCGTAATATTTTCATGGTATTTACTACTTGTGTTCATGATAGAAAAGGTGTAAGAGTAACAATATTCTTTAATTCGAATTCTTTTCTATTCTATATATAGATCTGTATTATTTAAATGAACAAAAAATCATATTAAAGAAGATTTAATACAATATTTCATGTATTAATTCAAGATTCAATTTCAAAAGAATAATGTTATAAATATAACCGAAACACGAAAGAGTTGATTACATGAATAAAACAAAGAAATTTAAAAATTCTGTAACTGTTATACCAATACCAATTGATATTTTCATTTATTCAAAATGAAAAAAACCAACACATTAATTTTTGCGACCATCATTTTAAAAACCACAAAGTTATCCATTTTATTTATATATAATAATTGGGTATATTAAGAGATGCCGGAAGTTAATTTTTTTTTCTTTCTCAGTTTTATTTTTAATTTTTCTTATTATTTTAAATGTAAATATTATAGATCTTTATTAACTGTAATATCATGGCTTATAGCTTTGAGTACAGGAACCATAATATAAAAACATAAGATAAATATTCAAAACAATTGCAATTTAGACCTTTAGTATATTATGTATATAAGAATAAGATTCAGATAACATTCATGAACAAGAAAAAAAAAGGGAGAAAGCAAAAAAATTTATTTTTATGTAAAAACAACGAAAAATTGTTTTAAATTACCTTAAATATGAAAGTAAATCGTTTCCCTTAAAAACGATTATTATTCTTTCCTTATAGTATAAGAAGGATGAAAATGAATATAATAATGATAAAAATAATAACAATAATAATAAAATTTAATAAAAGGATATTCAGGTTTTGTTATTGGCTTCAATTTTGGCGTTTTCAAACTTGTTTTGTTTCTTGTTTATTTTTGTGAAGTAAATAAAATAAAATGCTTATAAAATGTTGATGTTTCGTTTTTTTCTTTCCGCAAATCTTTGTTTCATAAATATTTTCTGTTCACCTACATTACATACATTAATATGTATATATATGTATATATAGATATGCATATTAACAATAAGGAATTACAAGCTAAAAGGGAAAGAAAAAAAAGAACAATAAAAATAAAAACAAAAATTAAAAAAAATGTGCTAATTTTGACCCAAAATTTTTTTTTCATTTTAGGTTTTTCATCAGTGTTGTAAATAATGGCAAAAAATCAACGATGCATATCAACGAAAAATAAAATTCAAAATGAAGCGGGTAAGATGAAATTCTTTTTGATTTCAGTAACTTTTTGACATCATTGGCTCTTTGAATTCAATGACTTTTTATTCGAAACATTCCATCTTCACTTTCTAGTCAAGATCAGAAGCCTTTAAATAATTTAAAATTATTTATCAATTTTTAATGATGGGCAACAATTTTTTGAAATAGAACAATATAGCGCATCTGAAAAAGTTTTACGGTACTCAGTTTCTGTTATAAGTTTGAGAAAAACGTTTACAGATTTTTAACTACAAAGTTTAGATTTTTACTCTTTTCAAATTTTAAATGAAATTTTACATAATATATAATTTCGTTTCATTAATGGCATAATTTTATACAAATAAACTATTTGCAACACTGTCTGTTTTCTCTTTTTAAATAACAAATCGATTAATTCTTGACTGGAGAACGCTAAAAGAATGAAAACTAAAATTGAATTTGTTTTTTTTTTCTTTTAGAATCAAAAGGATAAAATATTTCTTTTAGGAATTTTTAGGTATTTTTTTTAGGTATAACACAACGTAGAAAATGTGAAAATAAAAATTTATTACGAATATTTAAATTTTTAAAGTAAGCGAACAATAAGAAATTTTAAATTAAATTATTTATTAAAAAAAAAGTGAAAAAGAAAATTAGGTAATTTTAATGAAATCAGTTCATAACGTGTATTAGAAGTAAAAATAATAATATTAATAATGAGTAGGCGGGATGGTTAAAATCAATGAAAAGTATATAAAAACTTTAAATAGCGGCTATTAAATTATTAATTTTTCCCGCTAAAATGGAAGTTTTTACTTATAAGGACAGGATTCAATTGAAACCAGTAACTTTTTGAAAACGTAGGTTTTATTTCTTGAGTGCAAAAATTTTATATTAAAAAGTTTTAAAAATGTTAAAATTGTACTAAATATTTCTTTTTTTCACTAAACATGCTTATTCTCCTTAAATCACTCTAAAAGTCAAATATTCTGAAAATTAAAAAAAAAGAGCAAGAAAACAAAAAATTCAAACACTATTCAACCTTTGAACCTTATTGTGTGGTTGTGTATAAAGTAAAAATGAAAACCTTTGAATAAAAATATTCTTTTGAAACAAACGCACACACACATGAAATTTTGATGAAAATTAGAAAATATTTTTCGATTGGTGCAGTATAGTGCAGTTCATATATTAATACTAATAGCTTTTGAACTTTTTTAGTTTTAGTAATCAAATTTTTTATTTAAAAAAAAAGTAGAAATTCTAGATTTTCTTTTTTGTTTTCTAGGAAAAATTTTCAACTATGTAGTTGTTAACAACAAAAATAATTCTTTGAGAAATAAATTATTTTTTTTTTGTTATATTTTCTCTGACAAACATTAGAATTTGTGTTATGGATTCATTATAATATAGCAGGGGCAGAAAGAGATTATGCAAAAGCAAAATAAAAATTATAGCTTTTGCATCTATAGGTCCCAAATGAAAAATATGCAATTACTTAATTGCAAGTGTTCATTTTAATGAAAGAACCAAATGAAGTATAAAAAATGTAATTAATTTAATAAAAAAAAAAAAATAAAAAAAATTTTATTTTTTTGTATATTTAAAAATTCGTAAAATTTTTATGCTTCTTAATAAAGAAGTACGTACGGATGTACGTACATACAGAAATGTATATTCAAAACGCATAATAAATATTTTTTCGGAAAAATTTTAATTAAATTAGGTATATTGCAAAAAATTAAAGGAAATATTAAAAAAAATGTTTTCAGTTAATTGCATAGCTTCAGGCGGTAACTTTTTAAAAAACAGAAATTTCTTTTTTGTTTTTTTTTTTCCATATTATTTTATAGTTGTGTTATGAATTGAATTTCATTATCGAATTTAAAAAAATATAATAAGCAATAAGTTAAGCATTAATTTTCTTCTCAGAAAATTTCTACAATTTTGTATTATGTATTATAATTAGAAGTTCTAATTAGAAAATTTTGAATTTCCAAGGAAACTGAGATTTGAGCAGGTATCTTTGATTTACATAGAGCTAGAAAAGACGTTCTTGCGTGTGTGAATTGCTTCGTTTCATGACGATTCTGTTTTTCTGCGCTCATTGCAATTGCTTACTTTGTATGCATATATGGTAGATTCGACGCTTCTTACATTTACGAAGGTATATGTAGGTGCAAATATATTTTTAAATCAATTTTTTAGGCGCAATTGTTAAAAGAATATTTTATTCTTATGGTAGTAGTCAGAAATTTAACCATTTCAACTGATTTCAAATTCAATAATTAGTTGTCCTTTAAGTTTACATTTTTTTTTCTGTGAAAAATACTTTTCGTACTTATTCAATTAATGTTATTCCTAAAGTTTTCCTTTTATACATAAAATATAAAATATTTAACATAAAAATAAATCAACTTTAAAATTAAAATCAATTTAATGATTGAAATTTATTATCACACTAAAGATGAAAACAACTTGACAACTTTTGTACATTTTATATTTTTTCTGTTGAAATAAAATTGATGTCCTGGCGACAATAAATGAATAAATTTAATATCAATACAAAATACATAATATTATTATTTTTTTCTTTAATTTTTGATTCGCGTAGTAAAATAAAACAAAGAAAAGGAAAATTTTTACAAATTAAAAGTTTTTTAAATATAATTAAAATTGAAATTTAATTAATGTTGTAAAATATTCAAATTTCATAAAATTTTGATTTCAGTTGAATGAGCTGGAAAAAAATTAACAATAAAAGTTATAAATTTTTTTTGTCAGCTATTTTGTTACTGATTTTCAGGGTAAAACAAAATTAAAAGGAAAAAAAAAAAGTTGAAGTAAACTTGAATGACATTAAAATTTTTGGAAAAAAAATTAATTCATATCATAAATATTATTATTTTAATATAAGTTTATTAAAATAAATTTTGTGAGTTTAATTATGTTGAATGATAACTAGTTTGGGATTACGAAAAACAGAATCGATTGATTGAAATGAAGATTTTTGAATTTTATTTTTTTGCCCCTTGCGTTATAAAAACTTTTATGAATATATTTGAATCTCATATTTCAATTTAGTTATTGGGACTTATTCTGAGTATCGACTAACTAAGGGATAGTGATGTGTCGTAAAAGTTTCAAAAATTTTATTTTAGACGCGAAACATTTGTATGAGTTGGTTTGTGTTCACAATAATAAAGTCACATCACATAAGTAGTGATAATAAAGTCACTATCACATAAGTAGTGATTCGATACTTTAATAAGTCCGCCCCATTGTATAGTAACTTAGTATTGCTCGAAAACAATCTACTCGGGATTAAATTTTCTTGTGTACCTATAGGTTTTGTTCTTATCTTCTTTAATGATATTTTCATAATCGAGAAAATACTTTACCCTTTTATAATACGCTTTCGTAATAATAAAGCCAAATTTATATTTTTCCTTAATTGATTTCAATTACATATTATGTTTTTATAATCTGAGTTAAAGCATTTTGATTATAATGTCAAGAATATCATATTAAAAAAATTTTTCACTTACGTTTATTTTTCAATGCGTTGAAACTGCAAAGAAATAAAATTTTAATAATATTAAAATATTATATTTCAATAAATATAATTTGATAAAAATGTTTGTTTACAATAAATAATAAGTAAGTTTAAAAATAAAATAAGTTATGATTCTTATGAGCTTAAAAGTAGCAAGCAAATATTAAAAACATTATATCGGTATACTCAAAGATAAAAATAGTTTGAAAATAACTTTTCTTATTCTACCTTTCTCTCAACACATTTTTTGTGTTCCATATACACAGATTATAAAAAATATCGTCTGATTTGCTATAGAAAAACCAAATTTTCTGAAATTTTTTAAAGTAATTTTCTCTAAATTTCGAAAACGAACAAGTTAATTAAATCAAAATTAAATTGATTCACTGTGTATAACACTTATTTTCATATTTTAAAAAGAATTTTTATTTTCTTTAAAAGAGCAAATAGTAATATACTCTTTCTTTAAATAAAAATTTAATGTAAATTCAGAAAAAAAGTACTAACATAGTAAATAAAATTTAAATGAAATAAAAATCATAACTGCATGCAGTAAATTACAATTTTTTTATATAGAATCTAATTTACATTTCATTAAATTTATCAATAGAATGCATAAAAAATTAGAAAATAAAAAATGGAAATTCTTTTATTTTTCTATCTAAAAAAAAAAGAAAAAATTGCTCTGCAAGTAGAAAAAAAAAATAAGAATGAAAAACTGTTATCTGTCGAAAACATTGAATTTTATTGAATTTCTTAAAAAGAAAAGTGGAAATATAATATAGAAAATATATATTAAGAATACAGAAATAAGAGGAAGAGAGCTATAAATAAATATATTTGCAATAACTACTCTAGATATACTCGTATATAGAAAAATATTGTATTCATTGAAGTGAAGAAGAAAAAGAAAAGAGAGAAAAGAAAAACCCTAATAGTAAACAATATAGTTGCATAGAAGCACCGACATTCTTTGAAATATGTCTAAACCTTATGGCAATAATAATAATAATGATATTAACATAAAAATGTAATATCTATGCATAATATCTATTCATATAATATGGTAATGAATATGAGAGAGAGAGAAAAAAAGAAATTGCTGCAATGACAATAGTAAATTTCATTTTGAATTAATTTCTGTCACAGTCACTATTAAAACAGTGAGAAAAAAAATAACGTCTAATTCACAATGCTAAAAATTTTTTTTCGATACAATACAAATACAATTACATACAAGGAACAAGAACACAATATTTCTTCATGACAACGATAAAAGTACAATCAAGGCAACCTATATTATAGTGAAATGAATGAGAAAGCAAATATATTTCTTGCTGACGCTTTGAAAACATTGCCTCCATTTCCATAAGTCATAAGTCATACTTAAGAAATATTTTACTACTCATTTCATATCTTCATTCATCACACCCCCCAGTCCAAAATCTTTCATACTATTTCCTTTTGTTCTTTTAATTTAATGGCAAGAGAAGACATTTTATGGTGCATTGTATTGAAATGAGAAGTAAAGTGTCCCGTATGGGGAGAGAAATAGTATAAAATTGCTGATTGATGCTCATTTTACTGTCATGTTTATTTTTATCTTTTTCAATCTATTTTTGTATTGTTTACATGTTATTTGTAATTTAAATTTTTTTACTAGAATAAAGAGAATGCAAACAATTAAATTGAAATTTTATAATCGAAATGGCAGGATAGCAGGATACTTGTACAGACATAAATAATTAAATTCATCTTTATATATTTTTTGTGTTATTTATAGCTTAACTACTAATTTTTAATATTTATTTTACTTTATTTTATCTTTTATGATTTAAAAGACTTTTTAGTTTAATAGATTTGGTAAACTTAGTGGCAAATATCGAATTGGAAAATTTGTAATTAAATTTTATCAATTTTATAAAAACCTTCCAAAAAGCAAGATAATTAATTTTATTCATTCATTAAAGTTTTGCTCAATAAGTACATCCTTTTGCAGTTTTTTTTTTAATTCAAACGACTCTCATATGTCATATTTGAAATAAATTTTTATTAACGACGGCACGGATTTGAATTTTGAAACTTTTTTTTTTATAAATTTATTCAAAAAAAGAAATTAAATTTTTCTAATAAATTGTTTAAAATTTTTTTTTCAGTTTTCAAATTAAATTGTCTAAACTATTTTAGAAGTACAATAAATTAAAAAAGTTTTTTTTGCTTTTTTTGCATCAATTTTTCATCCGAAAATGAGCCACCACGTTAGAGTATAAAATTTTAAATTTATTTTGTTGAATTCTCTCAAGGATATTCGGCTGTGGATTTGGAGAATTAGAGTAATTTTAAAATTGTATTGTTTAAATTCTAATAAAAATATGTTGATATGGTGAAAGTTCTTATAGATTTAAAATATTTAAAATTTTCCGATTTCTGTTAATTAAATAAATCATTTTTTCATTGTTATTTGAATATTGCACAGTATTGTGCATAAATGTGATTTTCTCTTAGTAATTAATCAGAATAGGTCCCTATATTAGACTGATAGTATAGAAAAAAGCAGCAATATTTCAAATGTATGTATGTTCATATATAAAAAGATTTTCATAATATAAAATTTTTGATTTTTTATTTAATGTCATTTTTCTCATTTTTTTCTTAAATTTTTAACTTAACGAAATTCAATTCCTACTTTACAATATTCAATTAAATTGAAATAAATTTTATTATTTAATGAGATCTAATATTTAAAATTATTATAAATAAAAATCATTATTTTCAAAATAAAATAAAAATTTCTATTGTTCATTAAAACAAATTTAACTACCAATTTTAATTAAGAATTTAATAATTCTATTTTAGACAAAGTATCATAGGTCTATGCACAAATAAGTAATTTTTGAATTTTATGCTTAAATAATTAATAAATTTTTTAATTACTTAGATATTATTAAAATATTCATATTTTTTTTATTTCAATTTTTTTTCGAGAAATAAATTAAATTTTGCATTTATTAACAAAAGGTTATTGTCATACCACATAATTAAATGTATTATATCCCATATATAAAGTTAAGTATTTTGTTTTTTCAATATTGTGGTATAGTATAATAATAGTTTTATTAATATTCAAAATAATTTTATTGTTATATTTAGATAGAAATATGATACAAAAATTCAATTATCATAAAAATGTAAATATTTAATAATTTCAAAATTCAAATATTATAAGTATATTCGTAGAGAGTGCTACTGTATAGTTTAAAATTTTTTATATAAAATTTGTATACATTTATATGTAAAATTTTTCCAATTATTTTCTCGAGGACTATAATATTATGTAGTATATAGATAGGAATAGTAATATGTACTTATCATTGGGCAATATCAATTTGAAATTTGCCTGAAAGCAAAAGCTAATTAATTTTTTTTTCTATATATACCTACTACCCCTTAGTGCATATGGTTCGTTATCATATGAAATCGGAAAATCAGCTTATGTAAATAATAAAATAATTACATTATTTATTACTGATGGAAAATTAGTTTGAACTGAATTGTTGTGGCAGTAGTATTTTTTGTGCCAAAGTTTAGTGCATTTCTCTTTTAAAATATTATAATTCATAAACATCTTCCACGTGTTAGTTTGAATAATCATTCACAATAGAGTTCTACATATAATGAAATTTAATACAATGTTGCAGAAGAATTGATCCACTTGATGTGAATCTTATGGTCTCTTATACCAAATATTTGATAAAATTTTTACAAAGGATTTTGAATGATATTAAAATTCGAGTTTACAGTACAATCAATTCCAATCGGCACCTACATTCATTTTTCTCCATTTAAATTTCTTTAACCAAGAAAGGGTTAATAAAATGCATTCAATTTTCTATTGATTTTATAATAAAATTTTGCCATTAATTCACCTTCTTCCTCTATTATATTTGAATTTTTAAATTATTGCATTTTCTCATATTAATATTGAATTAATAATTTGAATTCAACAATTATTATATGTATAACCATAGTGCTGATATTATTTACTAGAAGCCATATATTAATATTATTTCAACAAAACTTGAATAACAAATAGAATAAAAATTAAGTCAAAAATTTTCAATTATTTCTTTACGGAGATGTGACTTTTTATATGTTTATAAATGTACTTAGTGTTTATTTGCATAATATGTATTTAATTTATTCATTCATTATATGTTTTGTTTTAAAATAGTTTTGTAAATGATATAGAAGACAATATTTCAATTAATTCAATTATTTTATTTTAGAATTTATTACAACAAATTTGTTATAACTAATTGCACTAATAATGTTATTATTATTGTTAGCACGAGCATAAGGATAGTAAATAGGTATATTGGATGTGGCACAAGCATTTATAACCAATTCATTGTTTACTTTTATCAATTTAAATGCGTCGTTTTGTTTGGATATTTTGAGTTTTGGTGCTCATTTTATGTGTATTAAGAATTAAATCAACAAGCCAATTTTGTGAATAAATGAAATTTCGTTTAGATTGTAATGAAAAGTCTGAAAGTAGTTTTTAAGGAAGAAAGCAAATTAAGAGTGAAACTAAAATAGTTTATATAAAGACAAAGCTATGAAAATATTTGAAGGGTAAACCTAACTTGGATCCTCATTTTCCGATTTCCGGAAGACTTAACGATTCTCTGATCAGATGTTACTGCTTTTCATTAATCAAATACCGAATATTAACCAAAACATTTGGCATCTTAAATTTTATGACTTTTTTGCTTTAATTTTTTTGTAGGTGTTGTTTAAAATAATTTCTTTTCTCTTTCAATTTTACGATCATTTTAATGTTTTCAATGTTTTTTTTTTATTTGCGAAAATGTTGTATGTGTCCCACTTAACGTACTTATAAGGTTTGTACTTTTTCTAAAAGTGTACGTGTGAAGGATATTTTCAACGTGGATTTACTGATTTTTTTTGGTTTTACTTGTATTTTTACCTTTTTGCCTTTTTGCTTTCCATTTTAAGATTATATTTTCCTTAGAAGCTGTAAATCATAAAATAAAAATGAAAGCAAAATTCATTTCCATTTCTCATATCCCATATTTTTCTTTTTTTTTCCCTTTAGATGTCTGGCTGGTGTTTGTGTTACTTTGCTTTTTGTTGTTCTGTGAATGAAACGCGCAAATGGCTGTCTAATGCTATTATTTACAAGATGTTGAAGATAATAATGGTGTATAAATTAATTCATTCAAAGTGAGTATCCTTGAAATTTTTTAAGTAAAAAAATAAAAAAAGAAAGGAATGGGTTATAATCTTTTTTATTTTGTATTTTTAAGGTGGAATAGTTGCTGACACAATATTCTAAAATGGCTCTGTATGCAGATGAAAGTGTAAACTCAGAGGTAGTTGAATATAAGGAAAATTTTGTATTGTTTAAAATATTTTAAAAGGCATTTTAATGACTTTGAAAACTTCTCAATTAATGCAACTGTACTGTAACTACCATTTTCTACATTTTCGAATGATAGATACAGAAGAACTTTCTTTCATATTTCATTCACGTGCTTTGCACTATGCCATGTTAGATCAGATTGCTGTAATTCGCTGGTGTCATACATCTTTTCACATTACTGAATGTGAAGATATGTATGACACATAATTCAGGAAAATATTGGGTATGTGAATGTTATTTTTTAGAGAAAACGCATTATAAGGTAGAAAGATTCTTAGTAATAATTGGAGCGTGAAGTCTGGGATGCGTTAAAATCCGTAAATTACAGTAAACCAATCCTCCTGAAAGCATAAAGTTTAATTAGAGAAATTGAAGTTACGAGCCTGAATGAAGTATTTTTATGAATATATTGCACAATCAGTTCTCAGTCAATCATTAGTAATGAATTTATAAATATTTCCATATTTTAAATACGGGCAATTTGCTGTACTCAACTGTTGTATTGCTGCAGCAATTGACTGAAAATAAACATCAAAATTTAATCGTTAATTTAACAGAGTTGCGTTCCTTTGACTTGTGTTACGTTTAGAATACGCATGATCAACAAATGATTTTTAACAAAATTCCATTTATACAAAATGTCACCTCATTCACGTTTTTTTTTTACACTTTTTCCTTATTTCAATTTTTATGTCAGACTAACATTAAAAAAAAATTTTGTTTTATTTACAAAACTCTTTTAACGTAATTTTATTTTACAGAAAATCTTAAAAGAAACATCCGTTGGAACAATCTATGGTACATGATTGTAATAAACTCGCTACAACTACAAATTTCTGTGCAATTAACAATTATACAAGAGTGAAGAAAAAATTAAAACAAAATCAAGAAAACATGTTATTATCCATTTTTATCTCTGGCAGAAAAAAAAGGAAAAAAATATTTAATGTACACCGTTTACGTTTTTTTGGAGTACTGCAATAGTGTACAAGACTGTTCTTTTGATGTTATCATTCTTGGGAGTCCTCATTATCTTGCTATATAATGTACAAAAAGATTAAGAGTATATAGGATATTTTATATTCATACAAGTGAATATTATGAAAGGATTATAATATTCTTCTAAGAAACAAAACATTTAGGAGGTGCCTGGCGATAAAGTCGAATGAAATAAGTTATTTCAATTTGATTGCTAAAAATTCTTCAAAGATTGGAGAAATTCAAATACATGTATTTTGCCATGAATCTTTAGGAAAAGAAAGAGCTGAACAAAATTAAAACTAAAGGAAGTGAAATGAAGTACTAACAATTTAAAATATGAAAAAGGATGAAAAAAATTTGTTTTAAAGAAGTTTTCGGGATTATGGCAATTCATTGCAGTAAAATAAATAGGAAAAAAAATTCTGACAAACTTACTTATTGGCCTCATTACATAGCACTAGTTTTACATGCTAAAATATATGTGTACTTAAACATCTTCAGTAGAGCGAGTAATTTTGCTTTAATACCATTTTCATTTTCCTTATTCCGTTGAATAAGTTTGTTAAATACTCAAGTATTTTAATTCGACAATGTTCGAAATCAGCACGTTGTTGTAAAGGTATAAAACAATTTTTCTTAAATTTTAAATTAAAAATTTGAATAATTTTAGCAAAAATAGATGTACTGAATTGATTAATGCATAATGAAATTAATAGTAGCAATAAAATAGAAGTCACAGTCAAATGGTTAAAACACAAATATGGGATCGACTTGCCTGCAATTTGCTGATCGGAAAATATAGTGCAAATGGTAAATAAATTTTCATTTCAAAACTACTTGTTATTCATAGAAATTTAAGAATACTATACAAAATTTAAAATTTAATAAGAATACTATACAAAATTACTAAAACTCCCTGTTACAGTAAATTTAAAGACAGTTAAATATACATAGGCACTTAGAGAATATATAAACAAAATTTTGTAAGGATTATAAAACATAAAGAGAAAAGGTTCCAACACAATCGTGTTATTACTACTCGTTCCATACCATAAAGTCACTTAAAAAAACAAAAAGCTGTTGATATTTTTATAATATTGAATTCTGTTATACTACTTTTACTCTTACTGCTTTTGTTGAAAATATAAATATTATGCGATGATGGTGATATTGATAATGATATAAGAGAAGTTTATCTTTAAGACAACAGATGGCGACAAGTTTTATTATTATTTTTCATTTTTTTTTTTTACTTAATTATACAAATACATACAATATGTATAATAAAAGTGTATATAGCATAGGAAATTTTATTAAGTATAATGTACAATTATTTAGTGTCTTTTTTTGAAAAAGATTTTTAAAATTATGTACTTTATTTACATTATAGCTATACAAATTATATATATATATACATATATATATATATGTATTAAATTTTAATTTTGCTTGAATATATAGTGAGTGAGGATGTAGTCTAATTTAAAAATAATTATTTTCATAAAGTGTAGGTATAGTGTGGATTTCAATGGATAAAATTTTTTTTTCAAAATTTTTGGGAGAGGATTGGGGCACACATTAATAAAATTATTATTATAATGGTTATAAAAGGTGTTCCAAATTGAAGATTTTTATAGAGTTTTAATTTAGTTTTAAGTACTCGCATAAATACAGGACTAAGAAAATAACAAAAAAAAAAAAAAAAAAGAAATAAGGGCACTTTTGGCACATAATAAAATTTAACATAAAAATATTTTTTTAATTACACCATTTGATTTTAATCTGATTTTTTTTTCTGTACAAAATTTCAATTTTCAAGGATTTTTTGAGAAAAAAGTTCGCTTCTGTGTATTTAACTTAATTTTAATACCATATAAATCATAAAATTATTTTGTAATTAATTTTGAATTTAAATTGTAATTAAATTAAGTTTTAAGATTTTCATATCAGCTACAAAAATGTACATCACATCAAAATTTAAATGGACTCTCATAAAAAGTATCAATTAATTTTTTAAAATTTTTGTTTATCTCATAATTCAAGGTTCAAATTAAAGGTTTGTGATCGACATAAATGAGCAATATTAGTCTTGATATTTATTTTAAAATTAATATTTGAACATTTGTGAAGATGAGATAAAAAAGAATACACATCCCAATTATTTAAGCTAGCTATTTTGGGTGAAGAGCCTGTAGGATGTCTTATATTATGAGACCAATAAGAGTTGGTGATATTGGACGTAAACCATTTCACCTATGACGCTAGGGCAGTCATCCTATGACTGAAGAAAACATGTGAGAGAGAAAACAGAATTTAATTTTTTCTTTTCCTTTTTTTTTTTTTTTTTCGCCCTTCACAGTTCCCGAATTTGTAGTACTTCTCAATAATATTATGCATATTTTCTTTTAATCTCCAATTTAGAAAACACATTTCATTGCTTCTTCTATTCACTACATCATTTTATTAAATTTTAATTAAATATTCAATATCCCTTTAAATTCAAAATAATAATTTTAATCAAAATTGGAATTAAATTGAATTCTAAGTATTTTATTATATGAAATGATTCAACATTTCACATCAATATAGAACAATAATTTTTTCTATTTTATTAAGGTAATGTTCATTCTGACCAATACTTTACTTGTCTCTATTGTCATTTTCAATAAATTATTTTGAAATTTTAACATGTCCCAAAAGTGCATCCCTTCTAATTTAATTTGTATTGCATTTTAAATGTACAAGTATGTAAGTATATACGTAACTTTTCAACATTCTTGCATGAACAACATAAAGTTCAATAGCAATTTCACAATAAAAAAAATTAAAAGTTATACCAGAATATCATGACCCAAATTAGAGTCCTTTACATAACTATTATCCTTCTTACTTATTATTATTATTATTGTTATATGCAATCTAATATTAGTAGTTTTATATATGTATGAATACATATATGTAATTAAATAACTAATACAATTAATTAAATTAAATAGAAGTTTCAAAAAGTCATACAGTCATATTGTCATCATTTCAATTTACAATATTTTAAGAATGTCAGTAACCAAAAAATAAAAAAAAGAAGATAAAATAAAAGGTACTTAAAAATTTGTACAAAAGATTATTGAAAATTAAAGAAAACTTATTATTGTTGGTATTAAGGACTATTAAAATTTTTCTTTGAAGTAAATAAGTACAAGATTGATATTTTTAATATAAAAGTTTTTGGTTTTAGAAGAATATTTTTAAAATATTCTATATCTTGATTGTGATCAATAAAAATACTTTCAATTCCATGTTTTCTTTAGATTTTCTTGAAAAGTACCTTTTTCGATTCAGTATAATTTGGATAAATATGACTAATATCTGCTTAAAATCAACAATTATATACATTTAGAATTACTTACATACTTGTACAAATTGTAAAAACAGCATACAAAATCATAAAAATCAAATTCTATATACTATTAGAAATATTATAAGGATATCTGTTGTTTACTATAAGGATAATATTATATAAAAAAATTTATTTTCTACAACAAGTTTTTATGCTTATTTTTATACGAGTACGAAATCTAAATGTACCAGAAAATAGACCAAGTATCTTGATCCCATAAGAAAAATTGAAATAAAAGCAGAAAAAAAAATAATCATTATTCTAGTTTAAAGAGGAAATGGGATACTATTCATGATGCACGTGTTTTGCTTAGACGTCAATCACAGTTTTTTTATTAGATATTGTACATACTTACATATATGAAAAAAACTTATCTGGAAATGCTCAGCCAGCACACACATGATATTATGTATATGTAAAAGTAAAATATTATTTTTGGAGAAATATTGACTGAGAAAATTTGGAGTTATTTTGAAAGTAATGTCACACACAAATATAAAAAGGCAATCAGAGAAAATGAGTATAAAATGTGCTTGAAATTTAATATTAAATTGAGTTCGTTGAGAGCAT